TAAGCAACCTGGAGAAGTAAAATTGTCTTCTAGCAAGGAACACATTGTTTGAAGCCCTAATAATTATAAAAAACTAAACTCCAAATCTTTCGAATGACTTCAATCAAATTTTGTTGTGGAACTTATGAAAGGTTCCATAATACTTCAAATACTTCTTCGTAAACCTTTTATTTGCTGAACTGCTAGTTGGACTGGAGGGCGCGCAGGAGTTCCCAAACCCTCGCCGCTTCTCCCTGGAGCAAGTAATTAGGCGTCCTGGGGGAACCTACACCTTCCAAGCGTTAGGCTCTGACTCCGACCATTGTCTGCCCGCAGATTGGTTTGTGCAAGGCTAGAGTATGGATGTGCGAACTCAAGACAAAGAAAAAGAAGAAGATAAAACTGGCATTATGTTTCTTTAGAATATTATGTGTTCAATTCGAAATTAGGTGGTAATTAGGCTTATAATTGTAAATCATGCAGATAAAATTGAAAGTATGGAGCCAGATTTTCAGAAAATAATCACCATTTTCATGGTCACCATTTCTCTAAAAGGAAGCATTAGCGAAGTTTTGAATTAGCTTTAGGTTTAGAAAGAGCTGGAACTGATTTGAATTTTTTCTCTAGACATATTTCTGTAAAAACTAGTGAGTTGGAGTTTGTTGCGAATAATGAATATAGCTTACACTATTTGTCAAGCAGTTCTTTTCTTCTTTCTTGCACCTGCGTTCGCACACCGTCTCCTGGCCCTACTCATACTAATCTGTGGACAGTCAATAGGAGCAATGGGCGGGGCCGGAGCTTAGCAGTTGGAGGGTGTTAGGTTCCCCCAGGACGCCTAATTACTAGATCCAGGGAGAAGCGGCGAGGCTTTGGGAACTCCTGCTACGCCGCCGTATTTGCTATCGATGCGAACGATTTGTTAGCAATGGAACAGTTGACTAATTGTTAGGGTAATAAAGCCTATCGTTTGATAAGCCTCAGCCTAATTACTGCTTGTGTTTAAGGTAAGCACGAAAACAGTCTTGACGATTTCACCTTCCACTTTCTCCTGAAAACCAAAATGATCAGCCGGTCTGTCGATAAAGATGAAGATGAGGTGCAATCAGGAAACAACTATTTGGAGTCCTTCTAATAATCACATTGTAAGCTCATTTTGACAAGTACCAC